GGCTGGAATGCAAAAAAGGACCCGAGTGATTGCTACTCAGTCACTTTTAAGGCAACTGAAAAATACATTTGCTGAGCTAACCTCACTCTCCCAAAGAGATGGTACTGCTAGCTTTTTCTGTGTAAAAGGTTTAAACAGTTATTACAGTGTGTCATAAATTTTAACTTGTAATTGAAAATCTCTTCACTTCCTCAAGAAAAAAAAATTCTGTATTACTTGCTATGTAATTACAGGCTACACAGCTGCTCTCTTTGGCTTTGCTAGGAAATTTGAAGACATAAAACACTGCACAAGCCTTATTCAAATTTTATTAAACTGCTAGTCAAAGATATGTCACTCCCATACTGAAGGCTCACAAGTAACACCTTCTTCCTGTTCTTGGGACTTAAAAGCAGATGAATCCAGGCCAAACTGAGTTAAAAGTCAGTACTGTATTTCCTCGCCATTTAGGACACCCCTTAGCAGGAGAGTATAATCTCTATTTCTGCCAAGCAGACATCAAAGGGAAAGCTAGCTACCTGAAAGTGTGACTGGAAAGAGTTCAGTGTATGAAGATTTAATTTTCAATAGATCCTGGTCATTCTGCATAGCCATCTTTGTCTCAGGTGCTTTCGTACAATTTTTTGCTGTTTATTTGTGTCACTTGTAATAATGAAGTAAGCATTATTCATGAAATAGTGAACCTAATATTGCAGCCAAAGGTATAAGACTAGTGACCCCACAATATTCTGTTCATCTTCAGCAGTTTGACATGTGTCATACTTGATTAACTATTCCCCTTGTCTTTGTGTACTGTGGAAGCTATGGTTTGATGTTGAATTTTTAGAGCAATTAAAACAAAATATACACCATGTATCTCTATGCTTAATTCACAGTACATTTCTTGGGTCACTGGTTCAAAATGGACAGCTTCTGGAACAAAGCTTTACCCACCCCAGACTTTGCATTGTACTTTTAGTTTCCCTGTTGGTGCAATATCAATATTTTTAACAGCAAACCATTAATTTGCTGGGACTGCTTTAGAGTATAAAAAGAATTTTCAAATCTGAAGATTTAATTTAATTTATTATCACAAAAGAATTATGAACATGGTTAGCCTGTGTAGCATATTGCCACTGTTTCCATTTCCATCTATCCCTTCTTAACATCATCTTACCCACGGATACGTAGAAAAGTGCCATGGTGTGTACCAAGGTCAGGTCTATCGGAATTTGGAAAAGTAACTTCCTTTGACTGTTACTGAGATGTATTTTTCACAGCCAATTTGAAAAGTTCTATAGGAACAAGAGGAATCACTTTAAGGTCTTAATTATGAAAATACAGACTATCACAGTTGCATTGGCTCGTTGATTCAAAATAGCTGAAATTTGGAATGAAGCTTTGCACACTCAGAACAACCTTATGTCCACCTATTTTCAGTTTTAAAGCATAATTGTTCAAAAATCTCTGGGTAATTATATAGACAATTCAATAAAATCCCTGAATTATGATTTTTAAATACTAGTATTTCCAAATATTCTAATCCATTTAGAAGTTCCTTTTTCTTTTCATTCAATCCAATTGCAGCTTGAGATGCAAGCAGCTCACCAGGGACCTTTATAATTAAAACTGTAATAGTCTGAAATTCTTTTCTAATTATTCCTCAACACACCAACTGGTGGAGCAATACTGTTTACATATGTCATTAGAACTTATTGTGATTATTTATTAACTCTTTGATCTTACACTGCTCATCAGGAAGGCTAAAAGGAAATAAGACTGAAAGATTGAGAGGGATTTTTGAAAGACTATATACCCAGTAACAGTGACTGTGGTACAGAATGAAATCTCCGCCATTCACCAGGAGCAAATTACAGAAACAGAATACACACAAAAAATTAAAAATTCAGTTTATCACACTTTGCTATCGCAGACGTGGACGCTTTTGAAAGTTGAACTAGCAGCAGAAAAACTAATAGATTTGTAATAATTGTTGTAACAAATACCTACTATAATCCTGCAGTAATTGAGGGATGAAGCCAAAAGGAAATTATTGAAAAAACAAAAATAGACAGATGTGCAAAAAATGTCATTAGCTGTGGAAAGAGGAAATTGATACTTAAGGCTGTAAGACAAAAGCTGTGCAGATCCGTTCAGAAGAAGGACTTATTTATGTGGAAAGAATAACAAAGGGAATTCTTTGAGGATTTCATATTTGACTGTAGATGTTATAATGCTTAAAATATAGAAGTTCAGAAGATGAAAGTAAGAAAAAAGAAAAAAAAGAAAGAAAAGCTCCCATTTCGTCAAGGAGGAAAACCTATCTTCTCAATTTATAAAATTGTCATATTATCACTTTCTCATCCATTCATTCAGACTACAGCGGGGCAAATTTCTTTGTCTACATTTTAAAAAATCAAGAAAAAAGCAACAGCTTTTCTTCCAGATATCCCAATTTTTGCTTCCTTGTTTAAATATCACATGGCACAGTTTGGAAACTTCCACTCTTGGGTGATGAAGACTCTGCTGATGTTTATAGTTATATAAATAATACATTTATTTTAGAAAGTAAAGCATATAGTCTTGATTATCAGAGGTATTTGCTTCTAAAGTGAAGATATTGAACTAGATAGCCACAATATATATGGTTCAGGTGGTGCTAAGCCCCTACACCAGCAGCAGCAATGGCAATCCTCCATCAGGTGACGTGGTTTCTAGCATGGATTCTGCACTGTCACCCCTTCCTTGCCCATCCCTATGATATTCTGGGAAGCAGACATGAATAAAAACATATTCCCACTTTCCATTTTTAGATGCCCAAACACAGGTAATGCAGTGTTAAACAGCAGTGTGAAAACATAACAAAACTTTGTGGTAGTTTCTGTTGATTATTATGAGAAATTATCTGAGCAACCTCCCCTTCTTCTAGTTAAAAGCACAGTGAAAATTCTTCTAATGCTTCCTATTTCATTTCTTCTTCCTTCGAGATCATGAACGAACAGAAAAACAACCTTAGAATGCATAGTACTAATACTATGTTTTTCACAGTAAAGCATAAAAGAGAAAGACGGAACAAAGCCATTAAAAGCAAATTAACTCATGGAACATGCAACTTAATCAAAGGCACTGTCAGTACATCATGTATTATTTCTACTTATGAGACCTAAAAAGATTCATGATTTAAAACAACAGCAGCAGTGAAATCGCAAGATTAAATCACTGAAGCACAACATATTCACTATAGGTTACTCTACAATGCACAGTTAAGCAGTACGCAAAGAGAAAAATTTATCCTGACATCAGAAAGTCTGCTCTTCCAAATAATATTTTATGCTTTGGATGCATACACATCTATCAGTGTAATTAATAAGAAAACTATGACAATTTTTAAATTTGTTTTAAATTGTGAAGAAAGATAAATTTAAAAAATAAATATGTAAAGAAATATGTTTTTTCTGCATTATGTATCACTAAATAATTACATCAATCTATTTAAATGAATGATTGCGTATTCAAAGAAGATATATACAGAGTTGAGGCTGTGGAAACTGACATAGGCATTCTCCAATTTCAGTTTTGTGATTTCATTAAATATTTTGATATTGAGAAACAAAAGATTATAAACTCAAGATGTAAACATGACAAAGTGCTGCTGTGTGGCTATCAGGAACTTTGCCACTGGTTTTCATGAAATTATAAGTGATACTGAATGTCATATTTAGCAATTGGAGGAAGACTGCCAGATAACAGTCTTAGCACATTTCACCGTGTTGGGGTGAACACATACGGCTTGCCGTGATAAAGAAAGCTGACAGCAACGTCTAACTTGTTTTAGTTAGGCCCAATCTAAGTGTGCTGTGAGCACGCTACTAATAAACACTGATAGGATCAAACGAGTCACAAACGTCATTGCAGCTGCTCTGTCTTGAAGATCATGATTGGAGGAGCAGAAATAACGCTGGCAGCCAGCCTACATAAAATAAGACCAGTGTTTACAGCACTCATTCAACAGAACAGAAGACCTGGATTTCTCCCTTTCTTCAATTTATGTCTACAACATTCTAGGAATGACCAATGCTAATGCAACAGAACCACCAACTGTGACAGGAGCAAAAGGTACTCTTCACCTCTCCTGTTGAATTTAATTGCACTGAGCAAAAAACGACACAGGATTCACAGGGTCTAAAGCAGAAGACAGGCTAGGGAGAAGCAGAAGACAGGCTAGGGAGATGTGGATTCTCACTCCTGTTCCTAGACCTATTTCTGTTTTGAGATTTTTTTAATCTAGGTTCAGCACCTATTACAGAAAGAGTTTCAGAAAGCCAGGACCAAACTCTGTTCTGTTAGCTGAAAGGAGTCAAGTAAATTTAGTGTCCTCTTATAAGACAGACTCCCACCCTCCTGATCACTCAAGAATTGCTCTACATCTGTTTCAGATTAAATGAATCTTTTTTGAACATAATGGGTCTGTTCCAGATGAAGCATTTCAACTTTATTTTCCACTTCTGACTGTTCCCTTATTTCCACAAGAGGAAGATTTCTTTCTGACACGCAGCAGATACTGCTGAGGGTGCCAGCAAAGCCTGCCCCAGTGTTCTGCTTCCAAGTCATTCAGCCAGTGTGACGGAGCAGCTCTGCAACTCTCTGGCCAAGTTTTCTCCCTTTTGATATCACCACATTATTATTAAGGCTAGTAATAGTAGCCTTACTAGCGTGTACCTGAAACGTTTTTACTTTCCTCCAGCAAATTCAGTGAACACCCCAATATTCACAACAGCTCTGCATCAATTTCTTTCCTTCCACAGGAATCCATTACCTTCATAATGCAACTTAGAATAGGTTCCCCTCCTCTGCTGGTTCTGGACCACATTTTACAGTGCCAGAAATTACAAAGGCCAGAAATACAGAAAATAAAACTTTCCTATAATTTCCGATAACAAGCGATATGTATTAGGGAGCGATTCCAGAATTACTCAGCGATCGAAATGCGAAAGCGTTGAGAACGCAAACGTGACTCTCACCTGCCTCTCGGCAAATCTGCATCGTCTTTCTTCCACCGGACGGTGGGCTGTGGGTCGCCCTGCACCTGGCACCGGAACTCCACTGCCTCCTCCTCCAGCACCACCTGGTTAATCGGTCTCCGGAGAAACGTGGGCCGCTCTTGAAAGAGACATGAAAATTCCTTCAGTGAGTCACAGTGTCGAAACTAAAACTTTTGACTTTTCAGCATCTTTTTGTTTACCAACTCACAGAATGAAGAAAGGAGGCTGAGCTCCACAAATTCAGACAAGTGGAACTGATGATGTGCATAAACAGCTCGAGAGACGACTGCCAGATCGGAGAGGCAGTGGCTGTCATATCCGGCCCTAATGTACAAATTGAATGCCACCGGAATGAAGTGTATGCTAGAACTGACTGCCCAGCTGTCACACCAACGGAGAAGTCTTCAAAATTGTGCCCTTCTGTGTGAATGTTTTGGCTCTGCACCATGCATGCACGGAGTGTGATTTAAAAGCTGCTGTCGGCTCTAAGAATATATGAGTTGTCAATGGAGAAATCCTGCCTGTGGCAATAATCAATATCTTGATGCTTTGGAGGAAAACAAACTCTTTTATGCACCTCAGCCGATTGTGTACTATTGTACAGAGGTCAAATCTTCCCTGGTCTCCACCACTAACTTCACCATGGAAAACTAAATTAAGCTCTGAATAGTAAGTTCTGTTTACCCTTGTTATGTTAGCCTGCACAGCTACAAATATTATTAATCATCATAATATTGCACAGGCCTGCTTAAAATCCAGATGCAGAGCCACAATCTGATCTCAGTTATACTGGTACAAATTCAAAGCACCGGTAATTTCATTTGAAAGGATGACACTGGGGTTAGTTTCCAAGGTGCCTTTGGACTGCACAAATTTTGTTCTGTCCTCTTCTGCCTACACTTTTATTGCCATAAATCATTTATGCCAGAGATAAATCATTATAAGATTGAGTTATATGAAGCAGTATTTCCACTCAAGAGTGGTATTCATTTTAAAGATATTTAAAATTGGTTACACACTATGTATCACCTTTTATTCTCAGCAACTTCAATGATATGACCTCACTTAAAATATTATTCAAAATTCACACATATGTAAGCAATACCAGATTGACCCAAACTGTCTTGGTAACCACAGAACTGAGTTTATAGGTTGGCTATCCATGCTTATTATACACCAATACAAAACATTAAAACAACATTAATAAGGTTGCAAATCAAGCATGCAGCACCTAGGAAGTGCCAGAGTTATGGCTCTCTACAAGTCCTTTAATCACTCCATATATGATCATATACTATTTTTTCCCTAAACATTTCTGGATTGTTGGTATTCATTTTAATGCAAAGGTGTTTAATACTGTTCAGTGGGTGGCCTCCTGTCATATTACTCAAGCCTCACTCCAAAGACAGAATTATTAATTTCCTCATGACCTCAATTACACCTTTTGTAATGCTTCATAAACAAATCGCTTATTTTCACAACTCCTCTCTGAGGCGTGATGGAGAACTAAGAAAGGAAGGTAATAATATCTCCTAAATGTGTGTATGCTCAACTTGAGACACAGAACAGCTAACGTTTTTTGAGAATTGAGTGTTCTTTTTGTTAGCTTCCATTGAATTCAGTCACAGCCGGTAAAACGTTCAGCTCTTCTACAAATCAGAATCCTAAGTCAGAAAATGAGCAACACAAAAATGGTGACCACCTATTAATAATTTAAATGAATTACACAGCATCCCATAGGAACCCCGTTACACCATAAGGGATACTCATTAGCAGAGAAGAATATATTTTGTCAGCAGAAGACCAGACACACTCAAGAATCTATAGCTCTTTTCAAGATGCTGGAGATAAAAACAGGTCTAAGGAGCAGAGATGCTTCTGCTCGTCTCTGCCATGACATTGCTCTTGTGCTGCTCTTCATCTTGCCTGTTCTCCAGCCCACTCTGACAGGTCCCAGCAGCTCTTGGCAAGTAAGTTCCGTTCTAGTCTTCCTCTCCACCTTGAAATCTCTGGCTTTATTCTCTGTTTCAAGTCTTTGTATCAGCTACACCCAGTCTTCTCTACAGCTCCTTGTCTTGAGTTTCCTTAAATAGGCAGTCTCTCTTCATCATCAGATTTTTCCTTCTCTGTGCACCTGTTTCAATCTCCTGCCTATTCCCAGCCTCCAGCTAGGTTTGGTCCTATGTATCTTGTCCAGCCCGTGTCAGTGCTTCAAACCCCTTCTTCTTCTGGTCACTAATTTTGCCAATTTTTCCAGCTGCAGCCTGGTTCCACAGCTGATTTGTCTCCTCCTAGCCCAGAATATTGCTGTTCACAGCTTGTGCCCCGCAAGCGTGCAACTCCAGTCTTCCGTCCAACTAGCCATGCCTCTTGACTTCTTCATGTCTTACAGCAAACTGACTCTCTTCTGCTCTGCATTTGAATTACACTCGAACTGCACTGGAGCTTCTTTCCTCTGTGCCTCTCAGAACATTAACAAGAAAAATTGTCTGAAGTAACCAAGCATCACCCTGGGAGACTGACAGGACTACCGAACTGCAGTTGCAGGAAAAATGCTGTTAAGAACTACACTCTATCTATCTGGTCTCTGTGGAGTATGAATTGATGATTGTTTTTTTCCAAGAGGCTCATAATTAACTAAATTTGGTCAAAATTACTTGGAAAAGCCAAAGATTACATCCCTGGCATAGTAGTTATTTCCTGTCAAACTTTAGGCCCCTTTTGTTAGGTATGAGGGACCTGCATTTTCTCAGAACAAAAATCTTCAACAATTCCTCTCCCTTGAATCCTTCCTCAATTCCCTCCAATTACATCTTTCACCTCCCAACTGCAGGGACTTGTCTTGAGCTATCACATTTTCCTTTTTCAGCACTCTTAGAAAAGAACGAACTCTTTTGGTAAAGTTAAAAAAAAATAAGGTGAAGGACATATCAGGCATAGAAAACTTTGGATAAAGCACTTTTGGTCTGGCAAACTTATTCAAACTGAACAAAGTAACTAGAATAATAGTTGTTAACCTTAACGATAAGCAATATCCTTGGTCTGTCTGTAATTATGTGGATCTAAAAGGAAATATATTAATGAAACTTTCTGTAGGTTTGCAACAATCTTATTCACAACTTCGTAGCTAAAGGAGCTCAGCCCTAACCCTGTTCTGAGCTCAAACATAATACACTCTACATTTCAGATGATCCTGAACTAGGATATTCAGATCCAGAACAGCATCCTCACAGGTTGAGGTGATTTAGAGGCCCTGTATCAGTCATATAATTTTAAATAACTCTGCATATGCCTGCATGCTTACTTACTCTGTGAGTAAAAAGTATTTTAGATCATGTTTATAAAAGCTGCCTGTAAACATCTAGGGAACTAATGCATGCATATTTATGAAATTGCTACTTGTGGCTATAAATGTTTCTTTACAGAAGATGAGAAAATAGAAAATAAACTCCTATTACATTTTGAGAAGAACAAAGTTGATGAGGCAGGAAGTGGTCCAAAGGCCATTAGGTAAATCACTCAATTCTATATCAAGGCAATTTAAGAGTATTCATGTTTCTTTCAGACCAGTTTATCAAAATTGTGTATTTTCCACAACAGTTGAGAATTTGCTAGAAAATAAATGGCTATGTAAGTACAGATCACAGTTATCAAGGACATGCAAATTACAATAACTGTTATTTCCATTTTGCCATCATCTCTGCATTTTGCACAGTGTGAATCAGGAAAGAACAAGTTATCTCTCATGTTGTTTCCTGCATTTGTATCACTCAGACAACCCCTTGAATATGTCCAATAGCTAATTATACAGCTATAAAGTGATCAGAGTGAATGCCATTGCCAATGCAATTAACATTCTTCATGTGAGATTAACAGGATTTGAGTCACCTGCTTAAGTTGCTTACAATGTTAATCTCTCAGGAGACAGAGCAGTGCTTGCTTGAGCATGCTAAATAAAGAAGGTTTCCTCACACATCCAGGTCAAATATAGTTCCAAAGCCAAACCTGAAAAAATCGCTCTTGACTTTTTCCTTTTTAAACCGTTTGCCCATTAAAAAAGCCTTGTGGTATAATTAAACGTTGTTACTTTGTCAAAGTATTTAGAATATAATATATTTGAGGAACACCATGAAAAAGTGAAAAAATTAATATTACAGACATATACAATTTTTTTAAATATAGCTATTTAATAAGCTTTCACTGAGTAAATAAAGTCTCCACTGCCCAGACTTTCTCTGATGAATATTAAAAATTTTTAACGGAACTATAAAATAGGTCACGGTTATATGTCATGTCAACCAGCTGTGCTATTACTACGGTGACCTTTATAACTTCAGAAGAATAAACTTTGCTTGCAGTTATAAAAGGGGATCGTTAATGCAATCGGGACAGACACCCACAATATGTTGCAGTGCTTGAGATAGGCACTGCAAGAAAACCTGAGTTAAATAGTTCAAGGATATAAGTCTAGAGAATCCATTCTAACTTGAAAAACAGAATCCTTTCCTTGCTTTGGGTGCTGCCTCAAGTTAACCCCAGAACTCAATTGTTCCTCTATTTAACAATCGGTGTGTGTATCAGAGTCCATTAGAGAGACTCTGATGACCTTCAGATGTATTACTGCCCTTTCTCTGTTCCTCAAAAACTTAGACAACCATATATGGGACCTCAATCTAATTAAAATGATCCTAACTACCTTAATATATTTTCTCTGCTGAGGCAACCGCTGGAGTGTAGGATTTGATTGTCCCTATAATGTAGAGACTCAATCTGATTTAGAACTGTTTTCTCCTTCTTTCCTGGAGAGAAGGCATCATTTTTTTAAAATGCTTTCCTATTCTAGAAAGAAGGATTAAAACCTATATTAAAAGGCTCAGCTTGGAGAAGGATTTAATAGTAAATTTTTTTTTTTAAAAAAAAAGAAGAAATAAGCAACCAACAACAAACTTCTGTCTCCTTTTTTCATCCTAGAGTTATGATATAAAGGAAAAAAAGTAAAACTAAATTGACAGAAATAAGTTTCACTTCAGAACACCGTCGATATAGCAGATATGTCATTAACCACAACATGATCTGAGGCTTTTGGATTTTCTCCTCTAACATCATGCCATCTAGAACAAACTACTTCTGGAACTATTGTATCTCTTTCAACTTGACAATTTCTGGAGAACGTAAATATGTATTCCAGAATCAGGCAAAAATACTACTTCATCCCACAGGACCTTATTAGCCGAAAAAAGATTCAGGTACCAAGGCTAGTCAAAGATTTTTTTTTAGACTAATCAAAGATTAGTCTAAAATAATCTTTAATATGGCTGTATTGATGTATCTTTTAAGATCTTTTTGTCCTTTTCTTAGTTATGCTTCATGTTCTTTTGAGGCGTTTCTAAATGTATTTCAGTCGTCTTCTGCTGCCTGTTGCCAGCCTCCTGAAGTCAATATATTAAAGGCTTCCATTGATTCCACTGGGCTTCAGAATCAATATACAAGATACACCTTTGTACATTCTTTACAAACTTGCTTTTTAAGTTCAAATGAATCAAAAGGAGTTTGAAATAATTAAACCATCTTGAAAACTTGAGAACGGCGCAATAGCATGACAAAATGGCAAAAGATTAGTTAAATGGTAATCCTTACTTTATTTAATTTCTGGCGTCATACTAGGTAGCCAAGTATGAGCCACATACCAAGATTTCTTACACATTGAATCATGAACCTGTTTCTGTTTTGCATCTGGCTTGAATTCTGTTCAACCAGGGGATACGAGCCCAAACGCAAGTAAACCAGCCTAATTTGTATCACTTACACTTCTGAATCTGGCCTTTAGAATAGAGTATGTTCATAATAATAGAGTACTAAGCTGCCTCTTTCTGTGAACGTTAGGATTGATGGATTGCTTATTAACTTTCTTTAAAGGCCACCTTTATCATCTTGTTCTGCTCCAAGATTAAACCTTGGAGCCCCATAAAGGCAAAAACTAGCAGTAGTGCTTGGAAGAGAGGACTAAAAAAATCTAATGGCATCAGTGTCACTATTCAAAACACAGGAATAATTTTCGGAAGCCCTGCTTATACAATCAGTTTGCTTTATGACATTTTATTGTGAAAGTTTGGTAATTTTCTGCTCGTAGATGAATCATGACCGGGGAACAAAAGAAATGCAGTCCGATCAGATACCTACAACATGCTGGAAATCATTTGCGGATTAGAGCCTCCTACTTGCTTAAAATTATGTTTCCTATGCAGATAGGGTGGAAAAAAACCAGTTTGTGAAAGTTCTGTATTCATGTATTATCTATAACCATTCCTCAGTAAAGGCTATTGAACGAGTACATTTTGACATCCTGCACATAGGAAGCTTTTCTTTTCTCCTCCCGCTTCTTTCCAAGGTTTTCACTGACCTTCAATTTTTTATTTTTTTTAAGTCAAGAAAGGTGTAATATTTTAGGCTAGGCTTCCCTGTTGTTCCTATCAGGCCACCAGTTACCACCAACACTGGCTCAGGTTTTCCAGAGGCGATGCCTCTAGCTAGATTTATTGCACAAAGAACCAGAGCTCTGTTATGAGTGACATGCAGAAATTAGCTTCAGGTACTACAGAAAAGCTTGCAGAGCCAATAGTAACAAGTGGCTGACTCCTGGGAAGGTTTAAGAACTAGTGTGAAACAGTCCCATTTCCTGCAGAGCAGTGTGTTTACTAAGACCTCCTTCATAGGGGAGAAAGGGATTTTGGGTTGATTATTTGGAAAAGGAGTAGAGAGGTTAATAATCTGCTAATTAATATACATCACGCTCCAGAATGAGCACCAGCTGTTGGCTAGCCAGACACATTATTCAATCCTCAAAGTCTCTCCCTTAACATACCTTCATTTTAACTATAAAGCCTATGTTCAAACACACTCAGAACAGCTGAAGTTGGGCACCTGAATAATATTTAAGCATTATGGTATTTTTAGCATATTTTTCTCCACAGTTGCACTATTCCCATGCTTCCCAAACCCGTGAGTTGGACGCTTTGTGCTTGCAGAGGAAGACTAGGAACTTAAAAGATAACCAGACCTTTTGCCCACATTCAGTAAAGCTAATCTGAACCTGCACAACCCCTCTGTTGTTTCCTAGAGCTGCTGGATTTATTCTGTATGCTCAAACTGATTGTAGTGTCCAATACACACATTGCTTCTTGGAAACATAATGGAGGGTGCTCTCCAGCACACCAGGCAGGCACACACACAGGCTCCTGCCTACAGTCCAGGGCTGGGTGCAGTTGGGAAGGGGTACAACTCTGCTGCTAACTGGTGGAAGGCAAATCCAAGGCACCTTCTTTCCTATGGAGCAGACCAGAACTAACCTGGACACATCTATATGGTGAGCCCAATATGCTAACATTTTAGATAGGAGGAAACCTAAGTAGAAGAGGCATTTTAGATACAATTTAGGGAATTTTAGATAGACTAACATAGTTATGAAAGAAGTGAAACTTATTATTTCATTTATTGCTGACTTTGTTCAGTACTTGCAAATAGACTTAGATTGTATTTTACCAGTTGATTGCTATGATTAAATCCTGTAACAATTTTTCAGAATGTTGTAATTGACTATATCACATTTTACATACCACAGCAAACCTCATACTTTTCAGATCTCTGCAGGATATGAAATTACATGCGTATTTCATAATTGTTATTCCTACAGTTCAATGCTTTTTAACAAATTATTTTCTTAAGGATTTCTTAAGGCTTTGTAGTTTAGGACTGCAATCTGCTTGCTATCCACAGGGAGTATTATCAGAGATTACCAGTACTTAAACTGATGAAGAAGATATGTCGTGTCTCTTTTACATCTATACAAAGGCATAACCTCCACGTATTGGTTGCAATGGAGAAAATAATTTGATAGAGATCCTTTCAGCATTTTTGCAAGGTTTAAGAGTTAATTTTTAAAAAATCAAAAGTAGAAGCCTTTACACTCTTGCAACACTGGAGAGTAACAAATCCTCAGTCACTCACAAATCTTGTCTAACAGAAACCTTCCTATGCCTTATGTGACTCCCAGAGTTTACTTTTCAGGTGGACAAACATATGTTAAAATGCACATATCTGCAAACATAGACAGTAGTATTTGTGACTGGGTTTCCCAGTGTACCATATTAGGTAGAAGGTGAACTGATTAGGAGCACTTGTGAATCAGCGCTTCACAAAGGAGCTTAGGATCTCTATGAAAAGTCTTACCAGAATTATAAGAAATATTATTCGGATTTCTGCTATGTATCAGGAAAGTAGCAGGAGAGAGAGCATTACAATTATTTCTCTTTCTCTCTTGTATTTATACATTTTTCTTTAGCAATGAGGGTTTTTTTTTAGTTATTGATTTTCTTTTGTTTGCTCAAGACCTCTTGACTGACTCCTACAGAAACATAGCTAATGGTGAATAGAAACGGCATGACTGCAGGATTTTACGACCTTGCATTTTACCAAGCTGTTAGCAGAATGGATCCAGCTCTAGGTTCAATATTGCTCTATTTATGCTCTAGACCCTCTCCATCGGGCAAATGATCCTGACAACTTTTTGCCTCATCCATCAAGTCTAGCAGCTGTGTTATGCAGGAAATCTACCCATTCCTGATTTGACAACCCCAAAAACAAAAGGAATGCCCTGCCTTCCATAATAAAAATTGTTTTATGCCCTTTAAAAGAAAAAAAAGAGACAGATGTATCTTCATACATTCAACGAGCTGGTCTCAGGATTTTATCTGAAGACCCTTTACTGGGCAATTGAGCTCTTTTGTGCTCTGTGACAAAGGTTTGATTTCACAATCCTGCAGGAAAAAGGAATTATGTAAATAGGCAGTGCTGGTCCAAACCTCTGCTAAGTAGACACTGTCAATTGTACTAAAAGTGGCTCAATTACATTTGGCAATTTTGTGAGGGACAGCATTATCTCCCGGATTATGGTTTCTGAGTATATGCATATCGCTAAGGACCTCCAATTAGATTTAAACTATGCGCTTAGAAAGAAAATGTTGGGCCATCACAGCTCCATAATTACACGCTGCTGCCTTTGAAACCTGGTCTTAGGAAACTGTGAAATGTAGCTTATGCAATACTATTGTGTATTGTTAATCTGATTTTGTCACATATTTTGATGACTCAGCTAGGTTAATTCAACATATGACGTTTACAGTAAAAAGAAAACAGAAGCTTGAGTAGCTTTACCAAAGACAGTCAGCTCTGCTGGATCGCTGTCTCGCTCCCCCACCATGTTGGTTCCAACACAAGTGTACATGCCAGCGTCACTTTTTCTTGTATTGGAGATCATCAGCTTTCCACCACGTATCTGTTTCAAAACAAGGAGTATATCTGTAACTTCAGATAAACAAACGGTATCAGAAAAAAGCTACATTCTCAGCCAGCAAAGGTCCAGAATTTAAGCATTTAAAAAGTTTTTTGTTGTTGTTGATGTACATGCTTATTTAAAAAATTGTAATCCTGTCTACCTGGACTATCCTTAATATCCTTAATATCCTTAATATCCTTAAGCTGTTCAGGAAGACAGTTTATCCTACTTGATCACGTTTAACTGCATCTCAGTTTTTTGTTTTCATTAGATGCTTTAGATTTCAAAGAATACAGTTTTTGCTGCCTCTTTAGCAATGCAGTGCTTCTATTTCTTGCATGATGATATGTAAAGCATTCTTGACGGCTCTCTTAAAAAAAGGCAGTTTTGCTTAGTTTTATTTATTTGATTTGTTTTATTGTTTTTGGTGTTTGAACTGCTGTTCACTAATTATGACAAATTTTCTGTTCTTCTTGGTGATGCAAACAGACTGCCTGCACCAAAAATTCACCTGGCTCCCACAAACCTTGTCATTTTCCCTGCCAGAGAGGATGTTTGGAGAGTGAAAGAGCAGAGCAGTTAAGAGAAACGCAGTAACTAATTCGCAGCTTGTGGAATCATGGTCGGTGTCAACAGCTAGAACATCAGATGTGGTGCTTCAAAATAATCTAGGAATATAGCCAAAGAAACTCGAGAGTCAGGGAAAGGTAGCCAGTTCCCTGTCACTCTTCCTTCCTTCCTTACTCTTGAGTAGACCCTTGCAGACACAGCCTGGTCCACAGTTAACACAAACAACAGCTGACATTGTTCAGCCTCTGCCATCCAAAGCAAAGGACAAGTCTTCCAGTAGTACTTCCATATTGAATAAGATCAGCACTAAATGAGTTACATATCATTACATACACCATAAAACTTTAACAAAGGAATATTAATAGTGAAAGGCTAAGCATTTAAAAATTTGGAATAAAATATGTCCATGCAACCCTAATTTGTCCTGTTTGCTTGCACATATCAAGGTATTTCTAATTTCTAATAACTCGATAAATTAGATCTTTTTACTGGACCCTTTTTCATCCAGCATGCAGAACGAAACACCGCAGAACTCAACCAGCATTATTCACTTATTCAATATGTATCCCTATTTAGGATCTATTGTTCTTTAGAGTATAGTTTCAAGCTTTGTTTAGAACACAGTTGCCAATTACTGCGCTAGATTTGACATTACAAACATTGTCTTAAGTCTGTTTTCCCCAAAATATTTGTGAACCTCATACACATTACTGAATTCGTTTTTAAAAAACCTCTTTGATATAAGGGTTGATAGTATTCTCATTTCACAGAGAACTAAGATCTAGAAAAGGTAAGGCCAAATTGGTCAGAGACATCCACTAACTGAATCCCAAGGTGAGACACCTAGCACCTAATATTAGAGTCCTTTTCATGATTAAATCTACAGCTTGCTCTGATTTTGGTTACAATGGTTATACAAATCAAGCCTCAAGAATTTCAAGTCTGACACTAATCCCAGAAGGAATAAACAACTTTTTCTCCTTATTTAGGAAAGCTCACAGGAGAATACTGCCAAGTGTAACAATGAGTCTCCGTGGAAAAGGCAAGTATAATCAGATCCACTTCTGTCTCCCTCTGCTGTTTCAGAAGCCCCGGCTGTTCTGCTTGTCCTTATCACTGCCTTGAACTGCATGATCCCCTGAGCTTTTTTTATTCTATGCCTGTGAACTCAAAGCCAGGCAGTTGCTGACCTCCACTGCAGGCAGTCCACAGTACACAGTACTGTGTTCACCATCAGCCACAGAGCAAGACCTAAAGCTGTGAATTTAACCAGGTCCCCTATCTATAAACAACCTCTTTAGTTGTACTCACACTGATTCGCTCTTCCCTGTCATCAATGCGGACTTTATCTTTCTTCCAGTAGATGGTAGGCTCAGGATGTCCACGAGGTGGCTGGCATTCAAGAATGGCAGGCTCTCCAGCTGCCACCACAACATCTGTAGGGTTTTGGCGGAAGTCATCCCGTAGCACTAATGCAATAAATGAGAGAGAGAAGAAAAAAATTAGTAGAAGTGACATAAACGGGAAAAATACATGCATATACATACATGTAATTAAAACCTCTAAACATTAAACTGGTCTCAATCACTATTAGGTGATGACTTTGTATCCTATAGCTACTATAAAAGACTGCATAAAAAAATTTGCTGAAACATAACCTTCTATCCAAAAGAAGCAGATTTAATATGCATTTTTTCCTTATTTTTTCCTCTAACATGCAGAACGTTGAATGCAGAACGTTGCTCTGCATTAATAATAATAATAACATGAAGAAGAACACTCCTTACTCTTTTAACCCTTGACATGGTCACTTGCCATTATGGGAAGTAATAGTCCTTGTAAAAGTAGTAGTGCAGGTCCAACACTGAGTTATTTTCGGAAAAGAAAACAACATGCTGAATATATGGCTTACCAAGATCTCCAGCTTCAGCATGAGCTCGGTAAAGAAGACACAACTGATACTGAATTGCCGAGTTCTGCCTTGATTAAAGGTAGCTTAATTATTATTATTATTGTTATCACCAAATAGATGCTGAAGTGATCATGAGCTTTGAAATGTGCCAAGCAAATCAAGCTGATGTTAGTGTGCTGCCACAACACCTGTTTCTTTCCTTTTTTTTATATATTACTGTAACTCTGACCAGTGTTACCCCACAACACCTAAAAAGAAAAGCATGTAAATCACCACGCTGTTTGAAAACTAAATTAGGCAACACATGCTAGCTTCTTATGTAAATCACGCTTCTATAGAGAGGGATTAGGTCCAGCACTCTGGGCTTGAATGTACTAAAATGATATCCACTTCACTGTTATTCTTCCACGTCTGTCCTAGTCTCTAGGTTAATTGACATTCTTATAAACATAAAACTGAAAATAGCTCTACATGAGCTACTGAAATAGAATTTAGGGCACTTCCTCTCCTTGAATTTCAGCTACGTACGGCTTTCATTACAGCTTTAAGACAGTTCTCGCCCTTAATGGAACCAGGGCCCTCTGAGAAATTAGAAAACACCGTATCCAAGTGAAGGGGCAAGCCAGGAAGAGTTTAGCAGAAATTGTTCACTCTCATTTTATAAGCAGAGATAATTTACTGCTTTCAATGTTAATAAAATGTGCCCCATTTCACCATTTGGAAGTAAGTATTTTTCTGTTCTGTAATAAGCCAGAAGAAAATATGATTAATACATACAAGAAATGCTCTCCGAATGGGCTGAGGTGAGAGGGGTGTAAAAATGTGATACTCAAATGACATATGAGGTAACTTTTATTGTTCCCCTTTTTGGGATACACAGGTAGATCCCAAAGGAAGGAGGGAATTAATTGGAAATTAATTCTTTTTCTAACATAAAAATGAGCCATTATTTAGGTCTTGCTTTTCAAGCATGAAATAAAAGTGACAAGACGCAGTTGGCAATAAATGCCACTCTGGCGAGAACCCGTATTCTTCCCAAACAGCACATCCAATATGTACCTTTTTCCCCAACAAATAACTAAAACTCTCAGCCCCAAAAGTATCTCTGATTAATACAAATCACTACTACACTTTTGAGTAACTATAATCAAATCAACAGAAATAGAATTCATAGACTTTCAACATGAAATGGAATAAAATTATGTAATGCACAATACAGAAATAGTATGCTGAAAATCACGGGCTACTGACTATTTGGCATTACAACATTTTGCAAACAAAGCCAAGAAGGCTAATATCACAGCAGTTTCAGGAAAGGAACCAGAACAAAAGAAGTCTTCAAAACCACCCACTTTGGGAAGCATCTTTATGCGTCTCTGTGACCACTATGATACACAGAGGGGAAAAAAAATACTTCTAAGCAGTGTATACCCTCTCTCATACAACTGGCAAACAGATATCAACCATCAACTTCTCCTGTTACTATTATATAAAAAAATCATATTAGTTTTGATTGGCTTGATTCTTTGCAAAGTTGCAGAACTTTCATGCAAATCCATTAGTGGAAAATCTCCAGAAAATCAGCAGCTCCAAAGGCCAAGAAGTTTCTCATCGTGTAATGACTTTATACTCCTGACTCCTAACTCCTGGCAGCAGGACTAAGGAAAGTGTTTTCCTTGAACGCTGCAGGCTGCTATATAAAGCTGCCAAACAGAGTTTCTTGGGGTGATACACAGAAAATTACATTAACTTTCTCTGAATCATTCCAGAAACTGTGTAAGGCTCCAATCAGTCTCAGAATATGAGGGTGAGAGGTGATTTGATTACATCACATTCCTTTACCCAAATCTTACTGCAAATGTGGCTTGCATGCAACACAAAATTGATGCTACAAAGTTTACTTAATTTTGCTCTACACCTCAACACACATGTGAATCTCAAATAGATATGTCTCACTATATCCATCTAAACCACTCTGTGTTTTGGAGGAAGACAAAAAAATGGTTGGAGAAAAAAGAAAAAAGGAAAAAAAAAAACAGGGAGAAAGACAGAGATAAGAGAAAAATGTGTGGAATAGAAATTAAAGAGAGAAAACAACTCAGAGAGGAAAAGGGGGGGACTCTAAACTTAGGGGGTGCAAAAACCAAAAACTAAGTAAAGGATGGGAAAGGGTAAGAATAAAAGCAGAGGGAACACAAAGGTAAAAAATAGAGGGCATAGGGTATTGTTTCTGTGATTCAATGCTCTTAATACAATATAACAAGGACAATACAAAGCACAGACATGAATCTGATCAGCAGAGCTATCGCAACCCACTTTTAAACGTCACCCCAGTTAGCAGGAAGGAGAAAGAGATCAGAAAGGAGGAGATTTCAGAATGGCAGCTGGCAAGTTCAGGCATCCCAGCGCAGCAGCAGCAGCAACCAGCAGAAGAAAGGAGCATCCGCTGAAAGTTGAGTTCACACTTATTACTGGGGGAAATGGAAAAGTTGCAGTACAGCTTAGTGCATTCACCATACCTAATAGCACAATCATCTGCGAAAGCAGAAAAATGGTTGAGAGCTGCAGAATATTCTTCAGCCAATTATCCCCAACTGCTACATCCTGTCAGATACCTGTTAGCGTGTCGGAGCCGAATGCCATCTCCAGACACTGACAGGAGGCTCGTGTTTGCTCAGGAACCCAGCCCTCCTCAGGTCTTCTTGGCAGTGTACAAAGAGGAGCTTTTTAAAAATTCAAAACAAGCAGTGAAAGGCTGCCATCAGCCTCCTCTTCTTCGTCCCATGTTCTTTTTTACTTTATTCCAATTTTTCAGTCTCATCTTGGCACTTAACACAAGGCACGCAGTTCCCTTTGTGCTTCCCACGAGTATTACTCGACATTTAACAAAGGATTTCAAAGAGAAAAATTGCCGACATCCAGCCCTGTGTGACTCTACAACTACAGCGCACCTGATATCCTCGGAGAGCAAGACCCTTGAGGTTACTTCTCAGTCCAAATGTCAGTTATGGCAATGTAAAGGAGAGTCATTTCCCTCCAGCAGCTTGACATTAGCATAAACTTCCTCACATTTTGAGATGCAAAAACTTTGAACCTCACAAACTTTCGAACCACTAAGCCTCACTGTTTGGAAAGGCACTGTGGGATTTGAGCACTGGAAAGGAGAGCTGAACTGTGCATATAGTCTATAATGATGCTGCGGACAAAAGTTAATTAAAATTTGATCAGCCTTGTTGTAGTTCTAATGAACTGGTGCTGCTCAAACAAGATAGACGTCTGCGAACTGTCATATCAGCATCGCATCAGAGGGGCAGGGTTTGGTAAGGCAATTTACAGGTATTCCCAAATATAATAATGGAAAGCAGGTACATTTAGCAGTAGCAGCGCGAATATAAACACTTCCAGGCCATGCACCTGCCAGAGACAAGTTAAAAAAAAAAAAAGGGGGTGGGGGGAAGGTCCTGCTACAAAGGCAGCTGCTTACCAGCACCTGCCAGCTTAGGCCCAACTCCAGCCTTGGTCAAGCTGACGCTCATAAACTCAGGGAATTTTATGGAAACTGAATTAATTTCCTCAGTTGAGGCTCCAGCAATTTGTTTAAAGGAACTGGAGATAAAACAACAATGTTTATGGGGTAGGAGGGAAGGTGAAGGGGTCAAAATTATTCTAGGCTAGCTATTCGTGCCTTAATCCTGCTTTCCACTACAGCAGCTCTCAGGCCCTTTAGAAAGAAAACATTTTTACAGGATTTACATTTACATGATGATTACAAATAACCATCTGTCTGCTTCTAGTTTTTCAATCTGGTCCATGTCCCACGAGCCCCCAGCCTCTGGTCAGAGCAGTTAAGCTGGAAGCAAGAAGCACATGCCCGTCAGGAGGCTTGCAGTAATTGCCTTCCTTTCCCACCAGCGCCTGGCTCTCCACCGCCTCCCCCCAACACACACAGCCAACATCTGAGAGTATTGGGGATGGGAGGGGATGGGGAAAGTCCATCTTTTTTTTCCTTTTTCAATGAACGATAATGTCTTAAAGCACGGCTACATCTGTCATGCTGACTAGAGGGTATTAAGCAGACGTTGAGTAAATATTAATGTGCTTCTCTAATTTGAGTCCTGGCAGTTTATCTTGTCCCTCCCGTTCTGTTTTGTACTTATCTGAGGAGGATCCTAATCTTACATAAAGATATTACACAGCCACACTAGCGGTAGGGTGGTCCTATGCCACACACAGGTAGGTCTCCCCTGATCTAAGGCACTGCCCCACAGGCATTTTCCCAAATCCTCGTCTCTCCCATCACTGCTCTGGCACTTCTCTCCTAAGAGACGTATTCATATGCACAATCAAGATGAATTATAATGTCAAATAACTGCCCAGATGTCATACATTGGACAGATTAAAGGATTATTATACTTTAGGTAACGTACAGTGCCGGGGGGTATTCAGGAACGTGGCTAATATTTATGATCTGCCGAAATGGCCTCAGAGCAAGCTGGCGCTGCCTGTTGAAATGGGGTGGCAGAAAAAGAGCAAGGGGTCGCAGACAATCTTCCTCAT